CGAAATCACAGTTCAATCAGGCGAAGAGATCTCGTTTGGCCTGGAATTGACAATCCAACCGACTATCGGTACCGAAAACCGAAGTCTGTCACGCAGAAACGGGACTATTTGTCTACAAAAGAAAACTCAATTCGACTTTGAGGCTATCGGCAAATGCTGAATAGGAGCTACCAGTCACTTTGAGCGGCTTGGGAGAATGTAAAAACTGGTCGTAGACATTTTTCACGATGCAGTTTCACTTTACGTGGACTTACCGCCCAAAGTGTTTTCGAATCGTGAGTTGGATGCCTACTCAGAAGAAATAAGTTATCGCGTCGCTATTGGTGGCAAACACTTGTTGAGCTTACTTCCATTTCGAGTGAAAGTGTTGCGTGAAGAGATTCGATGGTCAGTTCCACCAGAAGACGACGGCGGATCATTCCTTTTGACCAACTGTGGATTGGCTTTACTGGAAGATTCATGCTGACGCTGTTTCCAAGGCAATCTCCTTCGATTTCGGTGAAAAGGTGCTAATCTTTTGTGCGTCACATGACGGACATCATCAGAGCGGGGTACCATCTTCACAACAAAATTCAAGCTAACGAGTCAAGAAAACTGACCGGCAAATCCCTAAAAAGTGGTATACATACACTCTACATCTAGCCTCTTTGATCAAGTATTAGGTGATTTGGTTAGTTAAGGTCATATGTCAACTTCGATGCGTGTGAGTGTGTCTATCTCTGTATTTGTATGAGTCTTAACTGACCAAATTACTTTATACTTTATCAAAGAGGCCAGATGTAGAATGTATATACCACTTTTTAGCGATTTGCCGGTGAGTTTTCTTGACTTTTGAGCTTGAATTTTGTTGTGAAGATGGTACCTCGCTCTGATGATGTCCGTCACGTGACGCACGAAAGCTTAGCACCTTTTTACAGGAATCGAAGGTGATTGCCTCGGAAACAGCGTCAGCATGAATGTTCCAGTAAAGCCAATCGACAGCTGGTCAAAAGGAATGCGCCGACCTTCGAATCTCTTCACCCAACACTTTCACTCGAAATGTAAGTAATTTCAACAATTATGAAGCACAAGATTTCTCGAAACCCAACTTTTCATCGTATATATCGCCTACTTTTTGTTCCGTTTCACGAGATCAGCATAAAAGATTCGTAGGATTTATAGTCAGCCATAGTCGAAAAAGTGATGAATAACTGACAGTTGCATTTTTTTGGTTGCTTCGGCTACCATAAAATTGTCGCTGCCAAAAGTAACGACAATCAAATAAGACCCATTTTTCCACTGCTCCTCAACAAACCTCGGAGCAGTAACTGGAAAATTGTCCTGGCTCCAAGCGGATGCGTCCGAGTCGTGTGGTTGCATCGACTAGACCTGGGCTCATTAGAGTTCCGGGGATACCAGAAGACAGCTGAACTGATTGGTTACCTCAAAAAGTGCATAATCTTTGCTGTGAGTCGAGTTCGAGACAATCTTTAATTACCTAATAAGAATAAAATATAAGAGTTCCAGTCCGTGTAGGTCGCATACAGTTGAGTTTTCCCAACAACCATAGGCCTCAGGTTTCATCTTAATTTCACATAGCCCTGCTCTCATCTCGAGTGGAAGGGAATATTCTGGAGGAGTATGAAATTTACTTGAAACGTGAGGCCCATTCATACGTTTGTAGGAAAAACCCAACCTTATGCGGATTGAAACTCTTCTATTTAATTCGGATTAGGTAATTAGAGATAATCTAAAAATCGACTCACATCAAGAATTGTGCACCTGTTGCTGAAAACAAACAGCACAGTTCTCTTCTTTTACCCCCGAAACTCCAGTCAGCCCAATTCTAGTCCATGTAACCACACGCCTCGGACACATTTTATTAGTTACTGTTCTGGGGTTTGTCGTTACTATTTGGAACAACAATCTTCTGGTTGCTACGGCGGCAAGAGGAATAAGACGAGGAGGACAAAAGTATGTCAAACCTCCACATCAAAAGCCATCCTCTAGTCGTTTTCTGGACTTTTTCAAAATGTATACATTCGTAATCAGCCCTGGCTGCTTACATTAAACAAACCTGTGGCCACATTTATCATCATCATCATCGTTATTATCATGATCATTCATCCAAACAACCTTGCCATCTCCCCGGGTTTTATACGGTTGGTCTGAAATTCATGCCAAAATATTATTTTGTGTGCTCTCAAATTGTGCCAAAATCGCGACGAAGCCGGCTTTTAAGTTAGTTTCATTTCTGCTCGGGATTGTGGCATCATGCCAAGCCTAATAAGGCCAGTGAATTGCCAATAGGCTTGAGAAGTTGGACCATTAAAACAATTTCAGGTAAAAACGCTATTTCCTGCACCTTTCCGCAATACATATCGCGATAACTCGAAGACAGATCCCATGTTAACATGACACCCATGACACCTGTCGGAAACGCTTGAGGACTAAATACATTTTGGAGTGCAGGCGGCTAGACCCTCGGAATAAGTGACTTGGCATTTGGCGAAAATGAGCACAAAATTTGCTGACACGAGCTGGTAGTCGGCATGGAGACTCTCCAGCTCAACATGTTTGGAAACCAACTGGCCGATAGCACTTCTTAGCCCCAGGCCGGTGAATTCTGAGCCTTCTTTCTCATCGGTTGCCTTTTTCCCGACCTGTTCAGACTGAAATGGATCTTTTGAGACGGCGTTTCGGCCATATTCACGTCACGCGATGTGATCCGCAACCTTCATACGGAGTCGGCAGTTTGTGCCGAGAGAATCAGCAGATTTGAACTTTGATCTCGAGTCGAGGAGACGTAAGTACCGAGGGTTGTTGTTGACCGGATGAAATCTGCAGATGGTCTCTCGACGCCTAAAATACCTTCTTCGGCCGGCCTTGATTCGTGCAATTTACACGCTTCCAGTGGGATCGGAGTCGATAAGGCAAATCTGTATTTGCCGCCACAATCACACAATCGGCGAGTTCGCTTCGGCACTATCGGCAGACGTTGAATAAGAATGTTAATAAACTTGGATCGTTTAAAATGGTGTTGGACTTTAACTAAAGGCCTCACGATGAAAATAAATTTTTTTTGTTCTAGTCGCTCTTCTCCAAGGTCGGCTGGAGTCTCGAGCTCACTTGGGGCTCATCACTACTTACAACGGGACTCAAGTGACAACGCGTTGCTTCCCTTCCACCTCGACTGCCATTACTCGACAAGCCCGGACTCTCCGCAATCACATTTGCCAAATCGAGTTGTCAACGAGACTAACCTGTACCTCATATTAGAATTGAAGAACTTATTCATACTTTATTGGGAGTACTTTCTGAGAAACCCTGCAATTCTTGACTAAAAACTTGATTCGAGACTACCTACTCACTGACGAAAAAGTAATATCATCGATTGTTATAGAAAATATAAGTTTGCTTCATCGACAATCCCAACACAGAATGTGATATGGAAAATGCCCGTCATTTCTTGACATTCGCATCTGCTCTGTGACTTAAGGGCACTCGGGCCAATGTGGCGTGGTCGTTAACGTTTCGAGCTGACGCGCTGTACTGTCATTGTTCGACTCCCTCTTGGCGTGTTGATAAGATCGAGGCGACGTGGAAACTGCAGTCCACTCCTTCGTGGATGTGAACAATTTTTGGGAAATCTAGGCTATGGGAAATTAAAATGAAACTCCCGCTACAATGTTATCCAAGCACTGTTACTCTTCGTACCTAGCTTAGAGTTTATGAGATGAACTGAGAAAGATTCTATGGGATGAGATGTTTTGAGTTGGATTTATTTGAGAATGTGATGGGATGATAATATATCATTTAAGGATGTTTAAGATAAAAAGATTTTAATTCAGTTGTTTTTATTTCGAGATCAGATTTCGTAGAAAAAATCAGGAAAATATCTTTTCGATTCACTGTATTTAATAATGATTAAATGAGGTGCGATAAGATGAGATTAGTATACTTTGGATAAGATCAGATAAGATGTGACGACAAGTGCTGAGATTAGTTGAGGTTTTAATGAGATTAATTCTTTTTTGTAGCCGTTATTTAAACATGAACAGTTGGGAAAATCCAACTACCAGTTCTTCATCACCTTAAATGAAATGAGGGGGGAGCGCAACTCATAAAAACTTGATGTGTCGAAGTTGTTTGATCTCATTTTCGGCAACTAGGTCATGTTGTCAGGGCTACTTATTCGAACACATCTTTCTGAAGTACTCAATTATAATATTTATGGGAAAAC